TACACATCTAGATGTGTATAAGAGACAGAGAGAGAGAGAGAGAGAGAGAGAGAGAGAGAGAGAGAGAGAGAGAGAGAGAGAGAGTCTCTCTATGTACATATATTTCCGCGATTTTTTTTCCGAAAAAGCACATACGGCAGAGAAAGCAAAAATCAACTGATCAAGATCCCAGGATTTCAGAACCCGTCGAGAAGGCGGATGACTCAGAATACGAGAGAGAGGCTGTTTCAAAGCAAGTGACTTCTCACAGTACCGTACGATGGAAACGAAGGTCAACTCAACCCCAGCCGTCAACCAACCCTTGGAAGATCTCAACTGATCTCTACCATATTTGCACGATACAATCGATGATTCATAACATCGCTTCAAAACCTTCCACGAATCAACTCGAAGGTTACCATACTTACAAAGCACCACACAAGAGGTTAGTCGTAGATCACAACACTCGTCTAGGATACGCAATAATCGGGTAGAAGAACCTTTGCCAGAAGCATCGAAACGAAGAATAGACTTAGATTTACAGACATCCTCACGACTCCCAGTAACAAAGATGCCTAACCTACGATGATGCTTTCTCAATCTCTCCCTCTTACCTAGTCGTTGCTTATGTTTCTTACAAGTTCTTTCCAAAGAATTCAACGAGGCACCAAATAGATAAATAACAAAGTGTTCAGTAGACAGCAAATCTTTCTCATAACAGAAGCATAAAGGAATAATCACATACTGATTGGCTCCACAACGTCTAAGCCATTTGTAGAGTTTCTCATTCCTACTACCTCTTTCAATCAGATTCTCGCTACAGGCCCTATCGACGTGTTCCCGCCATCGAGACTCTAAATCCCGACCGGTACTGCCTACATTAACATGCCGACACCAAGGTGAGATAAGTGCATATACAACAGGACCCGATCTATTGAAATCACCAACATCATCACGCCACCACTCACCAATATGTCCTGACAACTTTGATGCCCACGGTATACAACCTCCCAGAATAAGACAGATAACAACCAACTGAAACAGAAGATTGAACGTTCGACATCTCAAGAGGGGAGGAGAATTTCGAATCCTAGAATACAGACAAGCTAGGTGTCAAAGCTCAGACACGCTTAGGGATAACCCTAAGAGTCAGCGGAAACATCATCAGCCAGCTTACCGTCGTCCAATTGGCCCTCGTTGCTATCGTCCGGAACATCATGTATCTTTCCTCCATCATCGCCTGGATACATCCTCTTTACACGAACATAAATAATTTCTTCAACACTCTGCTTCAAGGTAGTATACTTTACACCCTCCTTCACGCAAATCGCAGTAATATCATCCTTCTTCAAATTGCCCAAAGTCTTCTTCTCTGCTTTGATAAAGGCCTGCTTGTCGTTAACACGAGATGATTCCGCATCGGTAGCCTTTGTTTTTCCTTTTCCTGTTGACCGACCAGCCTCCTCCATTCGCCTGCACAGATCAGTTCCTCGCGGTCGCTGGGCAACCTCCAACCTTGCGTTTTCCTCCTTCAATCTCTCCAACTCCTGCTCTACCTCCCTTCTCGCATTAAGTTCTTTTAGCCTTAGATCTTGCAGAGTCTTGACCTCCAACGAGTGTCGGTGCACAAGACCAGCATAGTCAACAACAACTTCGGGAGACTTAAGAGGAGTGGCACGTGGTCGAGCGCGTCCTTGCGTTCCTGGAGTAACGACGACACACCCGCGTTTATTACCAGGACGCAGTGCTTCAATTCTCCATTGCTCGGTTTCAGTAATCGCGTCGTCCCTCATCTGCCTCAAAGAGCTCATCTCCTTCTCCATAGTATCCAGCCTCCGTGGCGCGGTCAACGCCTCATCTAATCTGGCCTTTATGGCATCTTGGTCACGTAGCAGTCTGCAGATAAATTCGTCACTATCGGTGGTGTTCTTATTCATTGTTGATGAATTTCCTCCATGAATCTGCATCTTCTTCAACCTGTCCACTTCGTTCTTCAACGCCTCGACTTCACGGTTCTGACCTCCATTCTTCTTGTTGATTGACTCGTCCATCTTGTCTCGCCTCTGATTCATCGTAGTCATCATTTGCTTCTGAAAGTCTTCTCTTTCCTTCTTATCCTTCGCACGTCTCTCCTCATCCTCCTTTTCTCTCAACTTCTTATCTTCTTCTTCTTTCCGACTCTTCTCCTCCTGTACTTCCGCGTCGTGTCGTAACTTGATCTCTGCTACAGTACTCTCTAACACGATCAAACGTTGTTTCGCTTCATACCACCCGCTGCCCTTGTACTGATTCGCCACTACTCCAACAGCAGAATTGGACGAAGAGGGCATAGTTAGAAGAGGAGCCGAAGATGGCACGATGGCGTTCCCTTGACCTTGCCGATGCGGGCACCGTCGAGCAAAGTGCCCCGGATCTCCGCAATTGAAGCATGTTCGGACTATCGTAGAGGTAGGTAGATTAGACGCCATACCAACAGCTGCTACCGCCGATGCTGAAAGTAGTGGAAGCCACACTTAACGTAGTACAATCCCTACGCTGGTTACTCTGAGAGTACGAGTAGTTGATGGCTAGCAACAGTCTTCAGACGATAATCATTACCACACCACAATTAGTCATCATGCCAATTAACACACCGGTCATAAGAGAAACAGAAAGAGATCTGTCTCTTATACACATCTAGATGTGTATAAGAGACAGCCCCCTTCCCCCTTTCCTAGCCTGCTTTGCGTGTTGAGAGTGAGAAGATATTTTCTCTTCGCTCCCCCCTTGGCCCCTGCAGTATACGAGAAGATGAAAGGCCTGACCATGCAGGTGACTACTGGGCCGAAAGAACAGCGATCCATCTGAAGTGGGGATAAGTGGATGGGAGGGAGNAGAGAGAGAGAGAGAGAGAGAGAGAGAGAGAGAGAGAGAGAGAGAGAGAGAGAGAGAGAGAGAGAGAGAGAGAAGGAGAGAGAAAGAAGATAGAAGAATACACCAGATTGTGAAAAAATCCCCGAACGCGACTATGTAAAAAATAACATGAAGAACAAAGCGGTAGGACCCGACTAGTTTCGACTGGCCCGCTAACCAGTCCTCATCAGGGGTCTTAGACGCAGGTGACGTTGATCTAAACCTAGGCGTATTTATATTAGGACGTTAGCCAAAAGAGGTACCTACAACACTAGTCCTACACCAGCCTAGTCAAAGACCCGACTTCGAACCGCCACCCTCTGCTACCGCAACCACAACAACAGTCTCAAAAGGACTTACCAGTCGTCAAGAGTTCGAGGCAAACAAAAGAACCAAAAAAGAAAAAGCACAGGACTACCTGAAGGTCTTCGTAAGGCTATCTTGAGAGCATGAGTTCGAAACCTACAAATCACAGGTAAACACGGCCACGAGTGCTAAAAAATAGCGGGATATCCGATGTTCGAACCCCTACAGGCCAAAGCGAAAACCACGAAACGCCACAAAGGTCCCGTGCTCGAAATCCACAAATCGAACGGAAAAGTGAAGAAAAAAAAAAAAGTGATGGAGGCCAAAAAAAAAAGAAAAAGAAGAAATAAAAAAGTGAAGAAACGAGTAACTTTGAATCCATGGAAGGCCCTCACGTCACCAGTGCGTTCTGGAATGTATCTGGCCAGGACGTGAGGAAAATGAAACAGGTCGTTTTCCTTTTTTGTTTCTTGTTGTGAGGTCCTGTAACGCCCTGCCAGCCAGGAAGGGCGGATTCCACGCGAGGCAGTTAGGCAAGTACTGTAGCATCATGTATCGGACCGCAATCACAGCATAAGGGAGGGTTTTGTTTTTCTTTTTTTTTATCTGCTGTTCGTGGATCGACGAGGGCCCTGACTGAACTGCGTATGGCCGAGTTTCAACTGCAATTGAGACTCGGCCCCCGACTAAACTGCTAAAACGCAGTTTCAAGTGGAATTACAAACTGTTTTCGTGACTGCGCCGATGTTACCCCTTTTTTTTTTTTTTTTTTTTTTAACACAGTCCCTCCCGTGCTAGCGATGCTGTTTCAAGGCAGACAGCGCTAGCACGTGGGGAGAGGCTCCATCTATTCGTGGGGAAACCGGGTCCAGCGTCCCTTACACAATTTGATACAGTATGATACATAGGATGGAAATTGGATGGAAATTGGATGGAAATTGGGTGCGTGCCAGCATTGATTACTCTGGGGCCCAGAGGATTGACTTCGTTAGGGATTTCTAATGTTTTGGAGCAATTGTAGGATTTTTTTTTCTAGCTCAGAAAAAGATTTCTCATAGTAGTTCAGAATTCCTTCAGATTTTTTCTGAATTTTAGCCTATCTCGTGGGGTTCATCATCGAATAGGCTGGTAATTTTTCATGATCCTATTCTCAGACACAGTCGGGTAAGGGTCCCGGTATCTCAGAATTTTTCTATATGTGTTTTCAATCATGTTTCATGTTCCAAATGGGACGCTGGGCCCGGTTCCCAGCACGTGGGTAGATTGGAGCATTGTCCCAAAAAAAAAAAACACAACAACATAGGGGACGGGCAAGTCTCGGGTCCTCATGGTGGAAGCAGAGCCCTGTTTAAGTGGATAACAGGCTGACCAGTCTGGAATCCTTGCTCTAATAGTATCCCCTATTACTAGTGTGACAGTCTGACTAAAGGCCCAGGTAGACAAAATTTAAACCATTGAACACCCTTTTCTCGGGCAAATAGTCAATTAACTTTTCTCCTCTCCACGTAATCTCCTTTCTAGAACACCAAATAACCCTCAGCAACGCAGCTCCAAGGGCTTCCGAGGCACACACCATGGAACATGCGGCATACTCGGATCCAACAGTGACCCTTCGGGCCCAAATTGTCCTATTTTTGGGCCCTGGTTCAGACCAGGGCCATGACAGCACTTTTAAACCATCTAGGCTGAGGCAGCTGTAGGCAGGCGAGGTCTCTGTGTGTTCTGTCCGTTCGTTTCTCTCTCCTTCATTTCATAATATTTTGCTGAGTTCCAGGTTTGTCCGTTTTCCAGGCTGGTCTGGACTGGTAGGTGTCCTTTCGGCATTTGCCCAGTCCGGGGCTTTTTCAGGCCCACCGGCCGTCCTTCAGGCCCAAGGCCTTTGATGTGTGCTGAACGCCGTCTAGGTTCAGCCAGATGTCCACTATTCCGCCCTGCACACAGAGTAAAGCCGGTTTCAGTAGAACCAACGCTATTTATAGCTGGGCCCTGTAGGGACTACCTTCTTCCCCGGAATACAACGTACGGCCATTAGAGCTGTATTTGAGGCATCTTTCAGTTTAAATACAGCCATAATGACCTCACGTTGTATTTGGGGGAAGAAGGTAGGCAGGTAGTTGCTCAGATGGAGCTTAGAGTTATTCTGCTGGAGGACCACTGGAGATAGCATTAGGCACAGGAGTACACTGAACTAGAGACGGCGGAGGCTGTGGTTTGAGGCACCTACCTGGTGGCTCCATTGCTGTCTTCATCGCCAGGCGCAGGCTCGGCCCTCCATCTGCAGGCATCAAACAGCTCAAGATGACATCTTTCGCTGGTCACAACCCTCCTGCCGAGAGACGACACTGAGGAGAGATTCTTCTTCTTCTTCTTCTCATCTTCTGTACCTCTGCCCTCCATATCTGAATCCTTTTTTTTGTTATAAAACACACACACACACACACACACACACACACACACACACACACACACANGAGAGAGAGAGAGAGAGAGAGAGAGAGAGAGAGAGAGAGAGAGAGCCTTGGTCTAGAAGACATCAATGTGGATGTACCTGGCGTTTAAGAGGTCCAGATACGTTCGGAATGTGGCTCAAATAGGGGCCCATTATTACTTACGTAGTTTTTTTTGTTTTTTTTTGAATTACTTATGCATCTGTACCCCACTTAAAAATGGGAATGCCCGCTTTTCCCATTCCCAGTGCCAACTTTCACCTATACCTGGAAAAGTTGGAAAAACGTCCAGTGGAAATTATGTGCATGCCCAGGACTTAGGTGGACCCAGATTGGCAGAGCAAAATTGCAGTTATAACCAAGTACGGAAATGCACAAATTATGGACATACCCACGCAAAATTGTGGGCATACCTGGGACTGAGGTGAACTGGCCAAATTATTCAGATACCCTTCTACGGGACGGCTGAAATTATTGTCATACCCAACAGCCGTTGGGCCACAACGGTCCATGTGGAGGGCATGAGCATAATTTTGTGGTCGGGCATCCAAGGCTAACCACTGGGTGTGGGTACACCCACAATTTGGCCAGCCCGTTCCTGGGCATGAGCATAATTTTGTGGTCAGGAACTGAGGGCCTGCGGGACTGGGTATGCCTACACTTTCACACAGGAAAAGTTGGGTACTATACGCAGTTGAACGGGCTCCGGGAAAAGATGCAAGTGGGGTACAGATGTAATTTTCCCTTTTTTCAAAATGGCAAATTGCTATGAAGAAATACACACAGGAAAAAGAGGTGCAGTCCACAAGGCAGGCTACCCCACTGTATTTTCTTCTGTTTTGTTTTTAGAGCCGTATAAAGCTCTTTGGAAATCAATTGACTCTTTGGAAAGTTGGTGGGTATAGGGGCATTTTGCATAGATGTTCGGTACACCGTAGGTGTATATTGCAAAGATGACCAGTCCAACTGACATGTTGGATATACTGCAAAGCTGCCTTATTGTCAGACGGGTATTCCGCTCTACCATGATCTTTGAGGGACAGTTTGGCATATATCTCATCTTTGAGGGGCGGAGATTTTGCCCTTATTTAAAAGTCCAAGAACTGAAAATGAGTAAATAAAATAAATAATAGGGGCTGGGGTTGAGGTCCCACTGAAAGTGGTTTAGTTTAGTTTCAGCATCGCCTGACAGGCAGGCCACCCAAACAAGAAAAAGCCCCTGTTCCTGCTGTATCAATTGTGTAGGGAGAGAAAATGCAAAGAGAGACGTGACAGTTGTATCTGACAAGTAACAGACCAACCAAAGATTTCTTCAGAGACAAAACGGGTCTCTCCACTATACAAAAAATTCTACAGTGTTTGTCTAGTTGTCAGACTATACAAAATGGTGGAGAAGGCCTCCTGCCTCCACTAACTTTACCGCTTCCGAGGGCTCTCCAAGTCATGGCGGCTGAAAGAGCATATGTCATCATGTTCTTGATGATCGGGCGGCCTCTTCATCGCCAGCTGGCCCGATTATCTCCTAATCTACTTCGATGCGTTTTGCATCGCTCCCATCAGCAAAAATTATTATTATTATTATTATTATTATTATTATTATTATTATTATTATTATTATTATTATTACTATTATTTTAAACAGCGTGTAGTCGCGCGAACTTTTTCCCCTCAGAGTAGGAGACAATGGAAAGAAAGAGAAGGAGGGAAATTAAGGGGAGGATGATCAAAGGAAGTGATCCATTTCGGGATTGAGAGGGGGCGGAATAGGTTGAAGAAAAGCGGCCATCGCTGCTGGAGTCGTCGGCACCTCATCTTCATGGAAGTGGCGCTGGACGAACGAGGGATAGAGAAAACCCCCCGACACATGAGAC